TGCACCATTAAATGAATTTTGTGCACAATATGGCATTATTCACCAAACTACATCACCTTATTCTCCACAGCAAAATGGAATTGCTGAAAGAAATAATAAAACCCTAAAAGAAATGATGAATGCCATGTTACTAAGTTCAGGCTTACCACAGAACTTGTGGGGGGAAGCAATATTGTCTGCTAATTATGTTCTTAATAGAATACCCCACAAGAAAACCAAAAGCATTCCTTATGAATTGTGGAAAGGTCGACTACCTTCCTACAAATACTTAAAAGTGTGGGGGTGTTTGACAAAAGTTGAAGTCCCTGTTCTGAAAAAGACTAAGATTGGACCAAAAACAGTAAACTGTGTGTTTATTGGTTATGCTCAGAATAGTAGTGAATATCGGTTTCTGACTTATAAATCAGAAATACCTGATATAAATATGAACACTATTATAGAGTCAAAAAATGCTGTGTTTTTTGAACATGTCTTTCCTTACAAGAAAAGACAGGAATTAAGTTTACAAAAAAGAACTTATGATTGTACACAAAGTCAAGAGACTAATGACAATCAAACACAAGAGACTAATAATAGTCTCGACCAACAGGATTTAACTGATGATGAACCAAGACGAAGTAAGAGAGCGAGAACATCAAAATCCTTTGGTCCAGATTTTCTGACATACCTGTTAGAAAATGAACCTCAAAGCTTTAAGGCAGCAATGACAGGTCCTGAAGCACCTTTGTGGAAAGAGGCTGTTAATAATGAAATTGAATCCATTATCCAAAATCATACTTGGGAATTGGTGGAACTTCCACCAGGTTCTAAACCTCTTGGATATAAATGGATATTCAAGAAAAAAATGAAAGCAGATGGTTCGATTGACAAGTATAAAGCAAGACTTGTAGTTAAGGGTTACAGACAAAATGAAGGTCTGGACTATTTTGACACATATTTCCCTGTGACAAGAATAGCATCCATTCGCATGCTTATTTCTATAGCAGCATTGTTTAATTTAGAAATACATCAAATGGATGTTAAGACAACTTTCTTAAACGGCGATCTAAATGAAGAGATCTATATGGAGCAACCCGAAGGGTTTGTAGTATCAGGGCAAGAAAAGAAAGTTTGTCGACTTGTAAAATGCCTTTATGGATTAAAACAAGCACCTAAGCAATGGCATGAAAAATTTGATCATGCAATGCTTACTAATGGGTTTAAGATAAACGAATGTGACAAATGCGTCTATGTTAAAAACATTGACCAAGGATATGTCATAGTTTGTCTTTATATGGATGACATGCTTATCATTGGAAGCAGTCAAAACATGATCAAATCAACTAAGCAGATGCTTAACAAAAGATTTGATATGAAAGATATGGGGGTCGCAGATGTTATATTAGGAATGAAAATTACTAAAACATCTAACGGATATGCATTATCTCAATCACATTATATTGAGAAAATTCTTGATAAATTTATCAAGGATGATATGAATTTAGCTAGAACACCTGTAAACGTCAATCTTTATTTATCGAAAAATAAAGGTGATGCAGTGTCTCAGTTAAAATACTCCCAAATCATTGGAACCCTGATGTACCTAATGAATTGTACTCGTCTTGATATAGCTTATGCTATCAGTAAATTGAGTAGGTACACTAGTAACCCCGGAGAAGACCATTGGAAAGTGATCATTCGAGTTCTTAGATATCTAAGATTCACCCGTGATCTTGGTTTGAACTTTACTCGATATCCAGCAGTACTTGAAGGTTATTGTGATGCAAATTGGATATCGGATACTAAAGATTCAAAATCTACAAGTGGATATGTCTTTACTCTAGGAGGCGCTGCTATTTCTTGGAAATCCACAAAACAAACATGCATCGCATGATCTACAATGGAATCCGAGTTCATTGCTTTGGACAAAGCAGGAGAAGAAGCAGAATGGCTTCGTTACTTCTTAGAAGACATTCCAATGTGGCCAAAACCTGTGCCAGCTATTTGTATTCATTGTGATAGTCAATCTGCAATAAGTAGGGCACAGAATCATATGTATAACGGTAAGTCACGACATATTCGTCGCCGACATAATACCGTAAGGCAATTGTTGTCAAACGGAATAATCTCAATAGATTATATAAAATCTAAAGAGAATATTGTGGATCCGTTAACAAAAGGTTTGACAAAAGAGCTAGTGTATAGTTCATCGAAGGGGATGGGATTAAAGCCTATTACATAAGAGTCGTTATAATGGTAACCCTACTTATATGACTAGAGATCCCGAGAACTAAGTTCAAAAGGACAACTAAGTTATGTATGGCTCGCCAGAAATCACCAAAGGATTAAGTTCCTACCCATTCCTATGGTGAGAGTGATATCTGCAACATATGTTGTATGCAGGGGTATAAGGATAAGCTTTGCTTTTAATGATTACTTATATCTTGATTGAGGCATAAATCAAGACGAGTATAAGGAGATACTCACAATAAGAATCACCTATATGAGTGTTGAACTGGGGCCGGTTCTATGAGAATGAAGAGGCTAAATTCTCTAGAAACACTTATGAAAACCAGGCGCGTTCAAGGCCAAAATGAACACAACAGTGAGAACCACGATGTGTTAAAAGATATTTTGTGTGAAATCTATTATCTAGGCTTACACAAACAGCTGAACAATTCAAGGCATCGCGTCCATTGGTTAACCAGTAAGTCCAATAGGTTATCACTAGGGAAGGTTCAAGGCCGAAAACTACCTATCTTGATGCAAGATATTTTCGACTTATACTCTTTCGATAAATCTGCATATTGTTGCATTTTCATTGTCATCAAATTCCATTCATATGGGGGATTGTTGGAAATGGTTATAAATTCTAGGTAAAACCAGAATTTTATCCTAAGTTCGGTCTATTTTTTAGGTGGGCCCCGTGCGTCGATTTTCACGGGTCAAAGTGGTAACGCGTTCTATGTCGCATTGTGATTCACGTGGTATATTTGGTTGCTCAAAACCATTACCGAGTGATTGGAAAATTGAAGCCAAAGTGTGCTCCATAGAAATGGAGTTTTGGTGGAAATTCCTTAAGGTTGTATAATGGCTTGTCCCACATTGATTTGGTGGGAGGTTTTGAAAGGGTTTATAAGGCTTGGGTTTGGTACTTGGGGTGTGCCCCAAGGGGTACCCAAATGTTTTAGAGGGAGAGGTTATGAGCAAAATGGGCTAGACCCATTGGACCCAAAAATCACCACATACGCGCGCGCGCGCCGCCGCCGCCGTCCGTCCGGTCGAGTTGGGCTGAGCTGGGCCTGGGCTTGGGCGCGGGTGCGAGGTTAGGTTGGGCTTGTTCGGCCCAATACTAATCTTTTTGGGCCAAAAACATTTGAATTTTATTTTATTTTTTGGTAAAATAAAATCCATAATTCAAAATTAAACTGGTTTGGTTTTACTGTACATCCAAACAGGACCCTTCCCGAAATAAACCAGTCTGGTATTATTACACACCCAAACAAGGCCCTTCCCATTTTGTTATCTGTTTGATATATAACCCAACAGATTCAAATCTGTTTGAATTCAAAACCAACAGGTTTCTTACCTGTTCAATTCAAAACCAATAGCCACCTTTATATCTATACATAGACTAGCCTCCCATTTGGATTTAACTCCAATTTTCGTATTCCATCCTTTGATAAAAATCTCTGCATTTTGCTGCATTTATTTTTTGAAAGAAAGAGTGTAAACACTTAGTGTGTTCGTAAGGCAAACAATTTGTAGTGCTGCTATTGTTTGTAGTAGATCATTTCATCCTGGGAGATAGACGTCCAATTTCTGAAAGCACCGTGGAGAGGACGAATCTGTCTTAAGGACACAGTGTCAAACACTGGACTTGATCAGATTATAATTCGAAGAAATTAAATCAAGTAAGTTATTTAATTTATTTCCAGTTTTTTATTATTTATTTAAATCAGATTTTAATTTTGTTTTTGTAACAAAATAAAATCTGTTTTTATTTTTTTATTTTTTTTATTTCGAGTTTGATTTTTGTAATCAAACAAATTCTCTCCTTTCCTTTATTTCTTTATATTCTGGTTGTTATTTAGTACACAACAGAATTTAATTAATTTAAATACAGTGAAGATTGTCCTACAATTTATACCACTACCGTGTTGAGATCTTCTACACTGTTATAGATATGCAACTTCAAGAGCTTAACAACCGGTTTACAGAGGCAAGTACAGAGTTGCTTCTATACGTGGCATGCTTGAACCCCAATAATTCATTTTGTACTTTTGATAAGCAAAAGTTAATCCATCTTGCTGAATTCTATCCATCTGATTTTTCTGCGGTAGATCTCATGGCACTTGATAATCAACTTCAAAACTACATTGTTGACATGCGCTCTAACAATGAAATTTCCGAACTCAAAGGAATTGGTGACCTTACTAGAAAGTTGGTAGAGACAAAGAAAGATATTGTATATCTATTAGTCTATTTGCTTGTGAAATTGGCGGTGATTTTACCAGTTGCGACTGCAACAGTGGAAAGAGCATTTTCAGCAATGAAATTCATAAAGAATCGATTGCGTAACCGAATGGGAGATCAATGGTTGAATGATTGTTTGGTTACATATATTGAGAAAGATGTATTTGATAGTGTTGATAATGAGCTTATTATGCAACGATTTCAAAATATGAAATCTTGTCGTGGTCAATTGTAGAAGCTCGTGTATCAGCATGTCTTTTTGCTTAAACAATAGTATCAATATATTGAAATATTTTTGTTTATAATTTTAGAATTTAAATTAATTTGTTGATTTTTTTCTCCATAGGTGATATAATGATTAATGTGAATTTTCTGTAAGATATATGATATTTAAGTTTTTGATTGACACCACTAACAAAAATTCCTAGAGTCGCTACTATTTCTGGTAGACTTTCTTATTCTGAATACAACTTTTTTCTTTATGAAATCACTTCACTTATTTAATACAGTCCAACATCCCAGAGAGAGAGAGAGAGAGAGAGATGTGCCTAGGAAACAAAGAATCACTAGTGTTTTTAAGTTTGAGATTACTATTACATACATGAAGAAAAAACTACATGACAGTTTCTTGCAAAAATCTCAAAATCTAACATTTACTTTTCTTCTTCCTCATCTGTGATAAATTTTCCAGTTCCAGGATTCAATGCGGCGAAGAAGAAGAAGGCAACATTGAGCAACACAAGGGGCTCAATATCACCAATTGGAACTCCTGTCTCTATGTTTAGCTGTGCCAGAGCTCCTTTCCCTGTTATTATTTCTCCAATTATAGAGAATACAATCCCCAACTGAGCCAATCGTCCCACGAACAGCTCGTTTGATTTTGTAAATCCAAATAGTGGACCTAACAAAAAATAATAATAATAAAAATAAAAACACACACAACATTTCTTAGAGTTTACATTATGATCTTTCACCCTCATGATTGGCATTTTTTAATCTACTTTAAAAAAATCTTAAAAACAATACAATTAAACACAATATACAGATCATAAATGTTATGTACCCAAAAACTAATATATAAAATTGTGCAGAATTTGAAATGTGTAGAAAGATTCAAAGTAAAAACATTTTTCTAAGTATTTTGTAGAAATCTAATGGCATCACTAGATTGATTTCATCCCCATTCTGAAGTATAGTCTTGTTTCATAATCGTTTCAATATTGAAATTGCCCACATTTACTACACTAAAATAGATTATCACCTTATGATCAAATGCCTACCATGAAAACTTTGAATTAAAGGTCTTGTGTTGTTGTAATTAAGAATTTTATTCCTAAAATAGAAGTCAATTTTCTTTGCAATATACTTTGCACATACATACCCCTAATATATAAAACTTATAAATTCCAATGACAAAGTATAATTTTTTTACCTCCTTCTTTAAGGCCCAACGCGGATCTGAGTCCTTTGCCAGGAGGGATGACAGCCCTTTCAAGGCCAGTGGGAGGGTCATCGACAAAGCGGCCTCTATCTCCCAAAGCTCCAATGGCTCCAAGAAGGGTGAAAAGGATGAAGAAAAGAAGAAGAGGCTCAGCTTCATAGATGGGAATACCGGTCTCAAGATTGAGTTGTGCTAGAATTCCTTTCCCTGTTATTGCTTCTCCCAACAGAGATGCCTGCAAACAATTGGAAACCAAAGCACTTGAATTAGCTATGTGAACTACTACTACACACCATGTGCTTTTATCTTCTCTTTGTCACTATTTTGTCAGTCTAAGCATGGAAATTCTGTTTTGGACATGTTTGGTGTAATTTTTACTTAAATTTAAAGTTGACAATAAAAAATAAATAAATAAATAGAAGGTAAGAACATCTCTCTCAATTTTTAGATAATTAATTTTATTTATTTAAACTAATTAAAAAATAAAAGGTACTTCAAATAATCTGACACATAAATGTGCCATTAAAACTGTGAATGTAATCATGAAACGTGGATGGTTATTATTTGCACACGTCGGTGACAAGGAGACAAAAGTTGTAATGTTTGCCAATTAGCATGCCCCGTAACCTCTCATTTGAATTGCACCACTCCATAGCGAAGTATGAGATCCACATAAATTATAATAATTTTTTTTATTATTATTTTTAAAAGAAGGTAAATTACATTTTCCACTCTTTGATTTTTTCTTTCAAATTTTATTTCAGTTCATCCTCATCTTCTAATTATAACAATTGAGCTTTCAAATTTTAACATATGTGATCTTTATCTCTGACTATTGACAATTTGAATAAAAAGTGTTCACATGAGGACAACATCAACACATTTAGGAGCATTAGAAGAAAAAATTACAAGTAAAATTACATTTTTTTATCATCTAATTTTCACTCAAATTTCTCTTAATTTGGTATTTCGTATTTTAATTTTGATTTAAATTATAAAAAATAAAAAATAAAAAGAAGAAGAAGATAATAGAGGACTGCATTGAGTTGAAGTCACATGTGTTATTGCAATAGGGTAAGTAGGGGTTGTTTGGGGTGTCCTAAATAAGTGTATTTTTTGTCTTTTTGGACTAAAAAATTGAGGAAGAAAATATGGATGTTTGGGTTAACTTTTTGACTTTTTATGAAAAAATGTGTATTAAAAAATTGTATAAATTAGTGTGTAGGGAGAATTTTTAAAAAAAGAATGACAAAAATACGGCTCATCCAAAAAAAAAAAGTTTTAAATATTTTAATTTTTTTGTTATGTATTGGTTATGATTTCAGTGTAGACTTCTGAAAGTAGTATGGAGTTTCAAGTTATGTGTTTTGTTATGAGTTTTAAAAATAATTTATTAATTGAGTTTTATTTTATATGTTTGGTTACGATTTGAGCGTAGAGTTGTTTTTAAATTTAAAATATTAACATTTTAAATTATTTATTACTGAGTAATTTAAAGAGAATTTGTCGAGTAATTTATTGACATTTTACTGAGAATTTACTAAGTAGTTTACTGATAAATTTCTGAGAATTTAAGGAGTAATTTATTGAGAATTTACTCAGCAATTTGCTTAGAATTTATTAAATAATTTACTAAGAATTTACAGATAATTTACCGTGCTAGTTTCTTGGAATTTACAGAGTAATTTTCTAATAATTTACCGAGTAATTTACTAAGTAATTGACCAAGAATTTTTTGAGAATTTACCGATAATTAACTGAGTAATTTACAGAGAATTTGCCGAGTAATTTACTTGGAATTTACTTATTAATTTACAGATAAATTTAGTGAGTAATTCCCCGAACAATTTACTATGAATTTACTTAGTAATTTATTTAGAATTTACTCAGTAAATTACTAAGAGTTTATTCAAAATTTACTGAGAATTTGTTGAGTAATTTTCTACGAACTTACCAATCATTTACGAAGCAATTTATTGAGAATTTACCGAGCTATTTACCACGAATTTACTAAAACCTTAATGATAATTTACTGAGTAATTTATTGTGAATTTAATGAGTAATTTACTCATAATTTATTCAGAATTTTCTTAGAATTTATTGAAAATTTCCAGTGTAATTTACTTTGAATTTATTGGGTAATTCACCGAGAATTTACCGATAATTAACTGAGTAATTTATTGAGAATTTATTGAAAATTTAACGAATAATTTATTGAGAATTTACAACCAATTCACTAAGCAATTTGCTGAGTAATTTTTTAAAATTTTTTTGTGAATTTACTGAGTAATTTAATAAGAATTTGTACAAAATTTTCTGAGAATTTACAGAGTAATTTACTCATAATTTACTGAGTAATTCACAAAAAAATTTCAAAGGATTTTCTAAGAATCTACACAGAATTTTCTAATAATTTACTAAGAATTTACTGAGAATTTTGCGTGTAATTTATTGAGAATTTTACTCAGTAATTTACTAAGAATTTATTGAGTAATTTACTAAGAATCTGCCGATAATTTACAGAGTAATTTACAAAGAATTTACTGAGTAATTTATTGAGAATTTAATGCGAATTGACTAAGAAATTTACCGATAAATTACTAAGTTCTTCACTGGGTAATTTAGTTGGAAATCACTATGTAATTTATTGAGAATTTACTGAGTAATTTACTTAAAATTTATTGAATAATTTACTGAGAATTTACTAATTAATGTTCGAATAATTTACTGAGAATTAACAAAGTAATTTACGAGTTTTTTTTTCATAATTTTTTAAGCAATTTACTATGAATTTACTGAGTAATTTACCAAGAATTTTCTTAGAATTTACTGAAAATTTTCTGAGTAATTTCTTTAGAATTTATTAAATAATTTACTGAAAATTTACAGATAATTTACAAAGTAATTTATAGAGAATTTAACGAGTAATTTGTTGAGAATTTACGGAGTAATTTTCTGAAAAACTTACTAGGAAATTACTTTGAATTTACCAAGAATTTATATAGAATTTTCTGAAAATTTTTTGAGTAATTTACTCATAATTTACCGATTAATTCACAAAAAAATTTCTTGCAATTTTTTGAGAATTTACTGAGAATTTTATGATAAATTACTAAGAATTTGCTGAATAATTTATAGAGAATTTTACGTCTAATTTACGCACAAATTTCCTGAGTAATTTAGTGAGAATTTAGTAAGTAATTTACTGATAATTTACAGAGAATTTATCGAGTAATTTATTGACATTTTACTGAGAATTTACTAAGTAATTTACTGATAAATTACTGAATAATTCACTCATTAATTTGCTTGTAATTTACTGAGAATTTATGGAGTAATTTACTGAGAATTTACTCAGCAATTTGCTTAGAATTTATTAAATAATTTACTAAGAATTTACAGATTATTTACCGTGCTAGTTTCTTGGAATTTACAGAGTAATTTTCTAATAATTTACTGAGTAATTTACTAAGTAATTGACCAAGAATTTTTTTAGAATTTACCAATAATTAGCTGAGTAATTTACAGAGAATTTGCCGAGTAATTTACTTGGAATTTACTTAGTAATTTACAGATAAATTTAGTGAGTAATTCACCGAACAATTTACTATGAATTTACTTCAGAATTTATTTATAATTTACTCAGTAAATTACTAAGAGTTTATTGAGAATTTACTGAGAATTTGTTGAGTAATTTTCTAGGAACTTACCAATCATTTACGAAGCAATTTACTGAGAATTTATCGAGCTATTTACCACGAATTTACTACAATGTTAATGATAATTTACTGAGTAATTTATTGAGAATTTACTGTGAATTTAATGAGTAACTTACTCATAATATATTGAGAATTTTCTTAGAATTTATTGAAAATTTCCAGTGTAATTGACTCTGAATTTATTCGGTAATTCACCGAGAATTTACTGATAATTAACTGAGTAATTTTATAGAGAATTTATTGAAAATTTAACGAATAATTTATTGAGAATTTACAACCAATTCACTGAGCAATTTGCTGAGTAATTTTTTAAAAATTTTCTATGATTCTGAGAATTTACATAGTAATTTTACTCCATAAATTTACTTGAGTTAATTCACAAAAAAATTTCTAATGATTTTCTAAGAATCTCCACAGAATTTCTAATAATTTACTAAGAAATTTACTGAGAAATGCTTGCGTGTAATTTATTGAGATTTTACTCAGTAATTTACTGAGCAAATTTATTGAGTAATTTAACTAAGAACCCTGCGCAATAAATTCAAGAGTAAATTTACAGAGAATTATACTGAGTAATTGGTATTAAGAATTTAAATGCGAATTGACTCAGAAATTTACATGATAAATACTAGTTCTTTCACTGGGTAATTTTAGTTGGAAAATTACTCAAAGTAACTTTATTTAGAATTTTACTAAGTAATTGTTACCTTAAAATTATTGAATATATGTAACTGAGATTTACAGGAAATTTACTAATTATGTTCCGATATAATTTACTCGAGAATTAACAAAGTAATTGTAAACAGAAGTTTTTTTTTTTTGATCATTTTTGAGTAATCTTTAAACTATGAATTTACCGGAGTAAACTTTACAGGAATTTTCTTAGAATTTATTGAAGAGAATTTTTCTGAGTAATTTTATTTAGATCTTTATTAAATATTTAGCTGAAAATTTACAAAGTAATTTAACGAGTTAAATCTTGTTGGAGAATTTTTTCTACGAATTTATTGAAGAAATTTACGGAGGTGTAATTTTCTGATAAATGTCTAAAGAAATACTTTGAATTTACCAAGAATTTATAATAGAATTTTCTGAAGAAATTTATTGAGTATTACTCATAATTTACTGATTAATTCACAAAAAAATTTCTTGCAATTTTTTGAGATACTCAGAATTTTCTTATAAAATTCACTAAAGAATTGCTGAATAATTTATAGAGAATTTGTAACGTTCCAATTTTTGAGAAATTTCCTAAGTAATTTACAGAAAATTTACTCAGTAATTTTGCTGATAATTATTAACAGAGAATTTAATCGAGTTAATTTATGACGTTTTACTGAGAATTTACTTAGTAAAGTTTACTGATAAATTACTGAATAATCTCACTCATTAAATTTGTCTTGTAATTTACTGAGAATTTAAAGGCCGGTAAAATTTTAGTTGAGAATTTAACCAGCAATTTGCTTAGAATTTATTAAATAATTTACTAAGATTTTACAGATAAATTTTACCGCTGCTGGTTTCTTGGAATTACAGAGTAATTGCTAATATTTACTGAGTAAATTTACAAAGTAATTGACCAAGAAATTTTTTGAGA